TTATTTGCTTTATAAAACATCTTTAACAAGGTAATGTGCTTGTAGATAAAGTAAGAATTAACTATCAACTTCCATGGACTAGAACTAAGACTATAGTACTACTGACATTTTGGTTAGCTGAACATTTGAAATATTTATTCCAATTCAGGTTGGGTCAAAAGTTTCATTAAAATCTTTTGGTGGCTAATTTTATAAACTACCAAAAAGCAAATATAATAACCTTTCAAATAAATTAGTGAGCAAGAATGATACCATAGCAATTTTTTTCAAGACAATTTCATTTAGGAAGCAAGGAGAAATCTCTGGTAGGCAGTATCTACTTAACAATCAAATTTTCCTTTTTCTAACTGTCATTGGCCAAATTTTGCACCACATAAAATAAAAAGCCAATTGGAGAAAAGGCAACGACATGGCTGTTATATTCGACTTAGTCAGTTTTTCAAACATTTTTAACATAAATTTTAAAATTTGAACAGACGAAAAAGATACAAAGTTCTTACATTTTTTAATGTCTTACATAAATTTGTCCAGGGTTTTCTGATCTCTTCTTGTCATTCTAATTAAATTGATTTTCTTTTAAATTATTCTGATTTTAACTACAAGCACCTGCACACTTTTAGTGCCGGTACCAGCAGTCATTTACATGAGGACGGGTATTATACAGTTTTAGAGGTGATTTTATAGACAATATCTTATTTACTCCTCACAGTAACCCTGGACAAATGGTCTCATATTTATCAACATCATAAATTAGGTAGCGTAGGGCGAGCAGGTGGCATGGTGGTTAAGGTGCTGGACACTCTCACGTGGCCAACCACAGTTCAAGTTCTGGACCTGGTGGCTTGCTTTCTCTTTCCCCCTCTGTGTGTGTGTGTGTGTGTGTGTGTGTGTGTGTGTGTGTGTGTGTTTCTCTCTCTGGTCAAAATTAAAATAAATAAATGAATAAATGAAAAAAGTTAATAAATAAAATTAAATTTAAAAAAAAAAAGAAATTAGGTAATGAGATTGTATGAGCTGACCAATTTGTCTAAGGTCATACTGAGTTGTGAGCCCATCCCAAATCTTCCGATTCTGCTTATCAGGTTATGGAATCCCTCCCTATCCACCAGAGATTCTAGGAATGGGAGCCTAGAAAAGGCAGCTGAGGAATCCCTGGGCTATAATCAAGACAAGGAGGAGGGAGGGGCTGGTTTGAACTCAGAAGGGGCTGGCCTAGCACCTCCTGCCACCTATGAGACTACTGCCACTACTTTCCTAGGGAAACCAGGAATCATTCATTCTAAAGCCTGCTGCCTAGAAAACACAGGCTATTGTTGCCACAGCAAATCCTAGCATATTTTCAGAAAATGAAATAAATAAATATATGTATGTATATATAATACACATACACACAGACAAAATCTGTAACTACTGAGTCATTGGAAAAGTCATGACACGTTTTTGCAAAGAAAAATACATCATGACTTTTCCAAGGATACAATATAATTGCTTTCGTTGTTATTTAACATGTGACATCTACAGAAACACTGCTCTCCACACACAAGAATTAGAATGTGTCACTCCTTGCAATATGGAGCCAAGGACACAGCTCTGAAAACAACAAAAGTCCCAAAATATTTGTTCAAAGATGATCTATAGCTCAAAATGAGTGCAAATCTTCTTCTTTGGCTGCAATTATGAACCACATCATGCAATATTACAATTAAATCTCATTGTGATATACTGGAAGGTCTTTAAAATATAAAACTTGAAGGGCGAAGATAAAACATAAAAATTACAGGTGTGGGATCAGCTGGTGGCATGGTGGTTAAAGCAGTTGGATCCCGCATGGCCTACTACTCAGTTTAAGTCCTAGACCCTACGGTTTGAGAAACTTGCTGGGCATGTGTGCATGCATGCCCAAAATCCTGAAAAGAAAATGGAGGAGAAGCCATTGGAAAAGCCATTGTGGTGTGACCATTTCCCTTTGGGGGACTCTTTCTCACTTTCCCCTGTCTCTTTCTTTCTCTAGCTCTCTCTGTCTGGCAAGCACACATGCCCTATAGGGGGAAAAAAAAAAAAAAAAACCTACAGGTATGGAAAGGCTTAGATGATGACATTGACAATGAAATCACTAATAACCAAACATGTGCACTCAAAAGAGTTATTGTACATTTAATCTAGATTAACAAATACTAAAAGTGTTCAGGATCAAAGATTTTAGAGCTACAATCTATTGAATCCACCCTGGAGTTCTATATTTGTTGTCAGACTCCAAGGTTGATCCTGATAAACTGGACCTCATCAGCAACAGAGAGAAATAAGAACAGAAAACAAGATAATATACAAGGAGCAGGTCAGTTAAACACAGTGGAGCTGCCTTAACACAACATGGCCTCCAGGCCAGCAGGTGGCATGGTGGTTAAGGTGCTGTACCCCCACACACGTGACCACAGTAAGAGTCCTGGACTGGTAGTTTGAAAGTCACATCATGCACATGTGTATGCATGTACAAAATCCTGAGAGGAGAATGGAAGAGATGGAATTGCAATGTGGCCATCCCCTCCTGCCAGGGGGATGATTTCTCACCTTCTCTCTCTCTCTCTCTGGTAAGCAAACATGCCCTGTAGCAAAAACTTTAAAAATAATAACAACAAAATATCTTGGACCATCTCTTCACCTATCATATTAAAAAAGTAAAGCCATTTATTTCAGATCAATGAGGCTGCTATGAGAATAAAAGTGAGACGCTCGAAAAGTGGCTCTGTAAATGCAGAAGTGTTACGTTCATGTCAGCTCTCATCGTATTGCACATGGGGCCATGTGGAGAGAATGATGCACGTACACAGGTAACTACAGCACAAAGCAGACTGCTACGTGCCACAGGAAAAGATCACAGGGAGCTAGAGTGCAAAGGGGTTCTTGTGGGTGAAAGTAGTAGTCAAGATAAACTTTGAAGGATGGATGGGCAGAAAACAAGAGTCAGAAAGAGGAGGAAGGAAGACTGGTGGGATCCAGTCACCCATGCGGGATCCAGCTGCCTAAACCACTGCACCACCACTGGTCCAATAAATCTATTTTAGTGTTCTTACCTGAATATTAAACTTAAAACAATTAAAACACACACACACACACACACACACACACGAAGTTTTAAATGTTATGTGGAAATAATCTTAGAGATCATCCATCCCAACCAATCTTCTCATTTGACAGACAAATTGTGAGCTAAGAAAATTAAGAGATTTCCTTGTAACATAACATGCTGCCTACTAGTGAAGGACATGTATAAAATTTTTAATGTTCTGGTCCCCAGTGCACTAAATGACACCATATACAATACTGGGCTTCCTTTTATATGATACATAACTGAAAGAAAAACCAAAATCTATACATGGATCTCTGTTTATCTAAAAATAAATAAATAAATAAATAAATAAATAAATTGCCAAGCATTGCTCGTTTTGAAGAAAAAAAAAAGTCAGTGAACTTATTACTATCATCTCTGCCAAAAATTCTCTAGCTATACTGAAGCACTGGAAAATACGCAGTATTTAAATATTTATTCTAGTTAAATGATCGATCAAAGAAAACATTTCACAGATTCATAAAACCCTTTCTGTGGGATATAATATCTCTGCTCCCGTATATGAGGCTACCACGAATTACTTCAGTGTATTTCACTCATTTTAAAGGTTGTACTAGTGGGGGATATATTTGTTTTACTTTGCTGTGTACCTAGTATATATAAGGATGAATGAGTTCTATTTTCAATATCTAGTCTTTCTAGATGTATGAAGTTGAATAAATAAACTAAGACATTGCATTTAAAAAAAAAAGGAAGAAGAAGAAGGCCATTCCATTCCTGGACCTGGTGGTTTGAAAATTACACTGGGCATATGTGCCCGTGTGTCCAAAATCCTAAGAGGAGAATGGAGGAGAAGGGATTATGGTGTGGCCATCCCCATTAGGGGTGATTTTTCACTTTTTCTCTGACTCTCTGTCTCTCTCTCGGGTGAGTGCATGCAACCTATGACAAAAACCTTTAAAAAAAAAAAAAAGCCATTCCCACATTGCCTTCAGGGGTCATGTACGAGCAAGCTGTATATGGTGCCCTTGACTGAAATAATGTGGGCGCTGGAGAGGAGTGACTTGAAGAACTTACACAGTAGCAAACTGATGTTCCTGCTGGATCGAGTGCAGAGAGTAAGCCGGCAGTAGAAACAAGCTCTGCTTGCACCCTGTACTATGGGGTTAAGAAGACAAGGCACTGCCAGTTCAGGAGGAGTGAGAGCACCCAAGCAGGCCTTACCACTACCAGAGGTTGCTCTACTCTCTGTTTCTCCTCCAGAATAAAGCCGAATTCAGTGTCTATAACTACACATGCCCCGGGTTCACCATGCTAAAAGAGGTCACACCCAGTGTAGGACTTCAAGCGTCTTTAGGACTAGCACAGCGACACAGCAGTGAGACCTTAATGTAAGGCAGGGAAGGGCTTTCTTTAGCTAGGAAGTCTGCTCCCAACCTGACCAAATCCAAGCCTGTGCCACTCCAGAGTTCATCATGAAACTCTTAAAAATGTGCTAATGGTAACTGAACAAATGAAGCATTGTGTACAATGGGAAAACTATGCCTAATCAGTCATATAAAATCTTAACTTATAAAATCCCTAAAATAGAAAACTTTCCCCTTATAACACAAGTAATAGAAGTTTTCAAAGACCTAACTTTATTTTTAATGTACTGCCAGAACCCATGTAATATGCTTATTTATGTATAAATATTCTTGAAGGATAGTGCTTTGTAGGTAAATAATCTTGTCATTATTTGCATCTACTTAGCATAAATCACGGCACAGAGTAGAAAGATTAATGTTTTAATTACTTTCAGTATTTCATTTAGCCAGCTGCATGGATCCAACATAACAGTTAATGGCAGCAGCCAAGTGAACAGAATTTCTTATGCCTAATTAGACAAAATTTATGCACGTCAAAGAACTGAAAAAAATCCGATAGGACTTACTTGCTACTCCTGATGCAAGTCCATAAAGTAGTCCTCCCCCTTCCGATTGCTGTGGGAAAGCCTGGGCTCCTGGAGGAGGTGGCTTTTCTTGTCTGATAAAGTTATATAATAAGGTTTTCACGAGTTTGCTGGTGTATGGAAGACTACACAAAAAGAAAAAAAAAATCAAGCTCATATTTACGGAAGTCACTTAATCTATATAATAATACAGAAATAACTATGTCATTAATGATGCCTATAAATAAATAGGTTAGCATAATTCTAAGATAGCCAACATTGTTATATAATGGTGAAGACTGTCCTGGGCTTAAGATCAATTTTGAGGCTTAATTCTAGCTTTGCCTCTTACCATACCATGAGAAAATGGTCAAATCACTTCAACTCTTGAGCTTTAGTAATTAATGTAACATTGTGAGATATTATAAATGTAATGCATAATATAGTACCTGACATTTGAAGAAATGCAGTAATGTAGAAGCCATAGGGAAAAGCAAAAATTAAAAAATGATAATACTTTTTAAGTACGAAATCATTCAATTCATTCCATTTTCGATTGGTGGCAAATCAATCTTTGCAACCTAGCGTAAATTTTTTAACACTCTCTTGAATGTACTATTGAAACCTTTAAAACGTGACTTCTTAAGTGAACTATAAGTATCAGTAAATTAAATATTTTATAGTTTAAATATTCGGCACCATAGTGATAATATAAAAATCTAGTAACTTAGAAAATAAGAATGGAGCCAGCAGGTGGTGTGGTGATTAAGGTGTTGCACTCCCATATGGCTGACTGCGGTTCATGACCCAGACCTGGAGGCCTGAAACTCACACTGGGCACGTGTGCATATGTGCCCAAACCCCATGAGGAGAATAGGGGAGAAGGGACTGTGGCATGGCCATCTCCTATGGAGGGTGATTTCTCACTTTTTTTCTCACTGTTTCTCTCTGTCTCTCTCCAGTGAGCACACACATCCTAATGACAAAAACCTTAAAGAACAAAGAAAAGAAAAGAAAGAAAAGAAAAAAGAAAAGAAAAGGAAAGAAAAGAAAGAAAAGAAAGAGAAG